AATTCTGCGAGAGAGAAAGAGATATACGGTCTCAGTCTATCACTAAGTATATGTATAGTCATCACATTGGTTAAATTCTTTCTCTTTTTGTCGTAATCTTTTCAATTATATATCATTGCATTGTGAGTCTAAATCAAATAATATGATAATTACGATATTTAATATATAATATTTTGTGAAATGGTAAATACATATATAATATTTTTCTGAATTTTTGATTTCTTTTATATTATTACAGATGCATTTTGCTCCTAAAATGTAGGAACAGAGAATGGATAATAAACTAGCGCATTTAATAGCGCAAATAAATAATGTTTTGTATAAAGTAATGTGCAATATTACAAAATGTACAATATTGTAATAGTACGAAATAAATGAAATTTTATAATAAATAATATATGTAAAAGTTTTATTATTTTATATACAGTATTTATTTATTATCATTTTTTAATTTGTCACAATTTTTGAGCATGAATTTCAATATTTAGAAAATAATGCGTTAAAAAAATTGAAGGGAATGACTAAAACATGGCGGACCCATCACAACTGATACCCGTATGGCGTCACTCTGATTGTAGGCTCTCTATTATAATCGAAATCGCTCATACATCTATTTTCATTTTGGGAACTACGTGACTACATACATTTTCTGGCACTATCGATAAAATCGTATCGTCGAAACAAGATGTGTTTCGTCTCTGTAATACGTCCTCAGGATAGAAGCGTACTATAATTACTAGTACATGTCAAAGCCTTTATTACTAACAATTATAGAGACTTTTAATAAATTCAATATCTTCTAAACATATATTGTCCATTTAAATCCATATAGTTTAATAATTTAGGTAATTTTTTGTTTTAGTGTACCTTTCGTTATACGATCCGTTTATAAATTAAATGTAACTTCGAATCTATTTATCGATAATAAAAGAAACGTTTCTCTTCTTTATTAATCTCTAATTCATTTCATTGACTCTAATCATATTTTACAGACATCATCTATAAATAAAAGATTCAACCCTTTTATCTGTTCTGAATTTATTTCGCAATAACGAATTGCAGATGTTTGATATTCGTTTGATTTCTAAAAATTAACCGATTGCATAATAATTGCATAATAATAGCTACATATATTACATTTTTCAGATTATCTTCCGTCTTGCGGATACGACTTTGAGGTGGCAAAATGATTATTTTTAAATCATTGTTAAATAAAATGATTTGAATAATTATATATTCTATAAAATAATTCTATAAAATATTTCTTTAAAATAATTATGTATTCTCTCTAAAGTAATTATATATATTCTCTAAAATAATTATATACTTTTTTATAGATCTTAGCAAAAATAAATTTGTATTAAATATTAAAATTTTTAAGTAATTCTCCTTTTATTTAAATTTGATAATACAATAAAGAATAACATTTAAAAAGTTATTGCAATTTTATTAGCGAAATACAATAAAATAATTAGACATAAAAATTAAAAAATAAATTAAAGATAAATTTAAAATATACTTATCTGCAAAAACTGGCTACTATATTTATTAATAATTCATTTATTTTATGGGTGAATATACTCACAAAGAAAAGAGGAAAATTGGTCGATGAAATTGGTGGGAGGACTCTATAGCTCATTTTTACTAAATTATGCTTTAAATAGACAATATATGTTTAGAAGATATTGAATTTATTAAAAGTCTCTATAATTGTTAGTAATTGTAGAGACTTTGACACGTATTAGTAATTATAGTCGGCACGTTTCTGTCCTGAGGATGTATTACAGAGAGAACCACGTCTACTTTTGACGATACGATTTTATATAGTGTCAGAAAATATATGTAGTCACGTAGTTCCTAAACTGAAAATGGATGTACTGGCGATTTCGACGGTAACAGGAAAAAGATCGGCATAGCCTCTTTCAGGTTTCTCTTTGCTTATATATTCAAGTCATAAGTTTTGTTTGAATATCATCCATTTAAAGTTCCAGATTTAGGGTTGCCAATATTCAGGAAACAAATTCTATATTTCTGTGGCGGGCTGATCGCACGAATAATTTCGCACGAAAATTTAAGCATTGGACGAACATACCGAACTATTTTATGTTAGAAACAAAAAGACGAATATATAAACGTACACTTTTACAAAATAAATGTAGCAGCGAGTCGCGTAATTATATGATAACGTTCTAAATTAGTATCACGAACACCGGGCGGCGGTGAAGGATTATGTTCCTAGACGAACACGCGTTGGCAACACGTGTTTTGACTCATTGTTGAAGTCAGTCAAAGTGGTATTTTCTTTCGGTGTTCGCGTTGGGAAAGGACGTTGTGTTCCGCGATTTCCGAGCAAGATACGCGAAGGAATCATTGTCAACGAACGATGGAGGCCGGTGCGAGTACGGGTACTCGTACGACGCGATTTATGATGGAAGGTGTCGGCGCTCGAGTGATTCGTGGACCGGAATGGAAATGGGGAAAACAGGTTAGGATGAGAGGTTAAGTGCGTTAAATGCGATTTGTTTGAGACAAGGCGATGTTTTTCTTTCGCAAGATTAATAGCAATAAATACTCCCACATTTTCTGTTTTATGCAACAATAGCTCAATAATTTTTTTCAGAAAATTGCGCTCGTAAAAAACTAATTTAATTTGCTGTAAGGTTACTCCGATTGTTGTTTATGTCATGTAACATTTATATTTAATTGGATTATAGATTTGTTGCATACTTACTTAAATTACTATTAGATTTTAAAATAATATATATCAATATACGTGATTTTTAACAGGCAGATCATTGTACAAAAATAGAAGTAATATCTTCATTTTTAATCATGTATATTTTACTGGTAATTGCCGGAAACTTGCATTAGTAACAGATTTAAAGGATATTTTAATTATTGTTTTTCAATTCCATTTAAAAGGACGGTGGAGAAGGTCATGTTGGTACTGTAAGAAATTTTGAATCACCAGAAGAGGTTGTAGTTGTTTGGGATAATGGTACAGCAGCCAATTATCGATGCTCTGGAGCCTTTGATCTGCGGATTCTGGATTCTGCACCAACAGGAGTGAAACATGATGGTACAATGTGTGATACTTGTCGTCAGCAGCCTATCTTTGGTATTAGATGGAAGTGTGCTGAATGTGGCAACTACGATCTTTGTTCCATTTGTTATCATGGAGATAAACATCATTTACGTCATAGATTTTTTCGTATTGCTACACCAGGAAGTGAAAGAGTTCTACTAGAGCCTCGTAGGAAAAGCAAAAAGGTATAAATCATGGTTCTTAATTTTATTATTTGAAAATTACTTGTTACATCATGTTTTGTTAATTAATATTTTAATAGATTGGAATTCGTGGTATATTCCCTGGTGCAAGAGTTGTACGAGGCGTGGACTGGCAATGGGAAGATCAGGATGGTGGAAATGGCCGTCGAGGAAAAGTTAATGAAATACAAGACTGGTCTGCAGCTAGTCCACGTTCAGCGGCTTACGTTATTTGGGATAATGGTGCTAAAAATTTGTATAGAGTCGGCTTTGAAGGAATGGTTAGTATTATAATATTAATTGCTTTATATTAAAGATAGTTTAAAATACTTTATATAAAACTGCTTTTTATTATAATATATTTTTTTTATTTTAGGCTGATTTAAAAGTGGTCAGTGATGCAAAAGGACAAACGGTATATAGAGATCATTTGCCATTGCTAGGTGAGCAAGGGCCAGGTCGGACAGGACCTCACGGTTTGCAAATTGGTGATCAGGTAAATAGTTCACGATATGTCTATTATGTGTAAAAAAACGCACAACGTAAAACATGTAAAAATTATAATTATTTTTTGTATTTATAGGTTAATGTCGATTTAGAATTAGAAATTGTACAATCTCTACAACATGGCCATGGAGGCTGGACAGACGGCATGTTTGAATGTCTCGGCACTACAGGAACGGTTGTCGGTATTGATGAAGATCATGACATTGTTGTCTCATATCCAAGTGGTAATCGATGGACTTTCAATCCTGCTGTACTCACCAAAGTCCAGATACCTGTCCCTGTTACTAGTTCGAGTTCTGACAATCAGACATTTGCTGTTGGAGATTTAGTTCAAATATGCCATGATATAGAAAAAATTAAATTACTCCAACGTGGTCATGGGGAATGGGCTGAGGCAATGGCTCCAGTAAGCATTTTAAAATAATAAAACTGCTGAATTTAATTCCATTTGTTTTTATATCTTATGCTTATTCTGACTTTTTGTAGACTTTAGGAAAGATAGGTAGAGTACAACAAATATATCATGATGGAGATTTAAAAGTGGAAGTCTGTAGTACATCATGGACATATAATCCTCAAGCTGTTACAAAAGTTGCTAGTAGCGATGGAAGTGTTCCAGGAAATAGTAGTGGTGGTAAGTGTAATAAACTGAATTAATTAGCTTTATTATATATTTTAATTTTATTATATATTTCTAGTTTAGTATACGGAGTAACTTATGCATTGTTTTCTAGAACGATTATCAGCATTATTAAAGAAATTATTTGAGACACATGTTTCTGGTGATGTCAATGAAGAATTAGTAAAAACTGCAGCGAATGGCGACGCTACTAAGTGCGAAGAATGCTTAAAAAGGCCGGAAGCTGATGTTAACGGTGTATTCGCTGGCCACACCGCCTTGCAAGCTGCAAGTCAAAACGGTCATTTAGAAGTTATTAAAATACTTCTTCGATATAGCGCAGATGTAGAAATGGAAGTAAGTATTTTTTACAAATTGTATGAAGATGACAAATCCATACTAGATTGTATTTTTTTTACTTATATCGTGTTTTTGAAAAAAATAGGATAAAGATGGCGATAGAGCCGTACATCATGCTGCTTTTGGAGATGAGCCAGGTGTTATGGCGCTTCTCGCTGGTGCCGGCGCCGATTTAAATGCTCGAAATAAAAGACGTCAGACAGCTCTTCATATCGCGGTTAATAAAGGACACGCTGGTGTTGTGCGAACTTTATTGGAATTAGGCTGCCATCCGAGTTTACAGGTAAGTGTGCATGCAATTTATTATTTTATAGTAGCACAAATGTTCTTTAGCATTTATTTTCAGAATGCTATATGTATATATCTTATTAAATGTTTTTACTGTATATTACGAATTAAAAACTATCCCTGTATTAGATATATTTTGGAATATTGTGCAATAAAAAATATTTTAACTACAGGATTCCGCGAATAATAGTCTTATTATATTTTTATAATAAGAGTTATAAGTTTATGTAATTTAAACAATTATAATTTAAATAATTATAATATTTAATAGTAATTATTTATTAATAATAAATAGATTATTTTAATATTGAAAATAGCTCTAATAATGACGAACAAGATAATATTTTTATTTACTTATTTAAAAGCTTTTTTATAATACCATCTATAATATAGCAAACATTTTATACGTACAAACGTCATATTAATATTTTATTAATAATTACGATCAAAGGAATTACGATCAAAGGAATAGAATCAACTTCGATACGATAACGTAATTCTGTTTATACAGTCGCGAAGTAAATCAACGACTTAGAGAAAACCGCGGGTTTATTGTAGGAGATTGTACTGGAATGAAATCTCGTGAAATATAACCATAGGCGGAGGTTTCGGTGGCGGGCCGCAAGGGAGGATAAAGGAAAGAGGGGTAGGGGTTGTTTATTTTATTCTTGAACTGTCTGAACATGATATATTTGTGGTATTCCGCCCTCCAATGATTTATGCCGGTCTGAAACTGCGTAAACGAACACCTCCTGTTTCAACCCTTTTTTCTCTCTTTTTTAACATTTTGTTTCGTTTTCTTTCTTTCATTTTGTATCCAACGATATGCAATCCTTTTTGCAGCATGTAAATCCATTGTTCAATAGCTAATTGTAAATTACGTAATCTATAACGAATTAAGTTTTCTATTTCCATAAAAATCTGCTGAAGCTTTATATTTTACAAAGGGAATTCTTTTGAAAAATTTTTTTAGTTTGCAATTTTGTATTATTTATACAATAATTATTAAATTTAAAAAGTAAGAGAAAGAAAAAGAAAGAAGCATTTTTATGAAGCAGCTTTTTAATTGGGTATATTATATTCTTTTACAAATTTGTATCATATAATGTGATATATATATATATATATACATATATATACATATATATACATTGGAGAGATAAATATTTATCTTTCTTCCTTTTCGTGAAAACATTTTTCATAAAGTCGAATATGTAACGGCACCGTAAACGCGGTTTACTCAGAATAAAGAAAATAAATTTGAGTAGAGGCGCGAAGGAGACATAATAAAGGCAAGAAAAATAAAATGAAGGAGAGCAGAAGGGTTGCGAAGAATAGAAAAAAATGAATGGTGTTGAAGAAGGAAGAAGATTTCAATCAGGGTATATCAGCATATATATTACTCTTCTTGCCGATATTTGAGAGCAGAATTTGTAGGGTTCTCGGGTAAGTTGTATTTTATTATTGATAGCATCAGAGATGCTTGTGAATCCACGTTAAACGATCAACTATGTGAATGTTTACTGATATTGCAAATGCTTACTTAAAGCATTGACATACACCATATTTTTTTATCTTCGCATTCGTGGTCGTAATACATTTGATTTATTTTCCTTTTCTTTGGTATTCAGTTTCATTATTTAGATATATTACGCAAAGTGTAACACATTTTGCTTTCATAATTTTATATTGACTACATCTCGTTGTTTTTTGATACTTGTGCGATATTTGTGCACGAGTGCCGGATGTGCGAATGTGAATTAGTGTTAATTCACCTTTGTTACACGAGTATCTCCTCATTTGCAGGAGACTTAATTAATTCAGTTATCTGCCTCGAGGAAGCCTCGAATTCCACCTGCGTTACGAGTGTCGCGGGATTGTGTTTGAGAATACGTGTTGCGCATAATCAAGACGCGCTGTGTATATTTGGTCCTCTAGCAATGGGGTATAACATTGCGGATCCCTATTTCCCTTCGAAACAATTCGAGACCTGAAGACAACTAGGAAACGTTTTCTCTGATAAACAACATTTACGTGCTCGGCATTTATTGATGACTATTTCTTTCATTTATTTTATATTTTTTCTAAAATCTTAGAACATTCTAAAATGATTTCTTAGTTTTAAAGGTTTTTCATTAATTTTTTTAATTTAGAAATACATAATTTTTTAAATATTAAGTAATGTTCCAATAAACATTACTTTATAAAAATATAGAAATTTGTTTGAAGAGTTTGTTAGAAAAGTGCATATAAGTAATTACATTAAATTATTGCAAAAGCTTTTTCTTTCGCCAACAGTTTACAGAAGTAATTAAGAAAGTTAGGCAATAGCCTTCTCATTTTCATAATCACCGCACAAAATGGTATAAATTAACAGTAAATGTAAATCAACGGTGTTTTTACGCGATGCCAGGGTGTATTGCGACCGTCGTGAAATACCGTTCATATATTTCATCAGGCATAAGACTCGCGAAAATATGCTTGCATTAGCGCTCACGAAATTACGGTTCATGTCTGTTTCTTCTCAGTTACGCTCTTATTCCACATTTACAGTCGACATTTGCATAATTGCTCTTTTTAAAAGCAATAAGAAACTTCTTGATAAAAAATTATTTGTTGTTGAAACACGAAGCTCTTAAAAAGTTTTATTATTTAGCTTATTTTTATGGAATCTTTCCATAAAAGCGATAGAGATCTCAAAATTGTAATTGAAGTATCATAGTTCTTATTTGATGTTTATAATATTTACATATAATTATTGTTTTATGGTAACTACCGATAATCCTTTTGCGATCTTATTTCATTCTATCTCGCAAAAGTTTTTAAAAGAAAACTTTTTTCCGCGTTGCCATCGACGAGCGTACTCTTCGTGAAGAAATACAATTTCAACGATCACGTACGTATGTAGCAGACAAGAAAGGCAGACTTTCGCGTTCGGCACGTGCGCGAAATTCCGACAAGTCGATCCGACAATACCGACGTGGGCGGAGGGAGGGAATGGAGGGACGAGGAGAATTTTTGCGATCACGCTATCATCCTGTCTGCTTCGTTGAAGGATCGGACTAATCGAAATACCGGACGTCTTTGGAGCTGCTACGTGTGTAGGTACTCTCTGCGGGTGCAGCAACCCCTCATTGCTGCCGTTAAAATCGGGCTAGTCATCCTTATGGCTTCCGTTGTTCATATCCGAGGAAAAATATTGAGATGGTACGGCTGTAAAGCTTTTATCTTTGATATTGATTGTTCGTCTTTTCTTTTTCTTACATGATTGAAAGAAGACAATCTGAAAATTATCGTGAAGATCTGAGTGAAAGAGATTATTAAGAGATTATCTATTTGTTCCTAATAATATTTTACACACACACACACACACACACACACACACACACATATATATATATATATATACTGGATTTTTTATAATGTTCGCGTTATGACAGAAAACCAACTGTTTGCTATAACAATTGTCGACGTGTGTGAGTGTATTGTGTCTATTTCGGCAAATCAGGATTAATCGCTTTCGAGAAACTGCATCCTCTCATAATTCTGTACAATTCAATATATCCAACATGACGTTTCAGCCGAGACTATTCTGTTTTACGAGCGCAGTCAGGACATACTGTACACGCAATAATTGAGTTCAATTGTGTTCGCTACGTGGTCAGTATCGTTGAATACCTGAAACAAATCATAGACAATCTGCACGAATTCGATTGAATATTATCAATAATAACTGGCGCTTCGATTGATTACAGTAATTCTTATTCGTTTTAGCATTTGTACTTTGTATGGTATCCTATTAAATCGTGAATAATTACACGATTTAATAGGATGAATTTTTAATTCCTTTGGTAGTTATTTTCTTCGGTAGTCGTATTCGCGATGCAAAAATTCTTGAGGCGCAAGGGATAAAGATGCGAATAATACAATTCGATACTTTTTTACTCTATCGTGCGAATAATACATTCAATTGAACCGATAGTCTGCGCCGATGCGACTGTTCCATACGTGGAAAAAGTGGTTCGTTTCGGAATGGGAGATGCGATGCTCCGCGGGGGGTTGAAATCGGAGAATCGTGACCCCTATTACAAATCCAATATCCACCTATACTTCTCCCTCTTTCTGTCTTTCTTTCTCTTCTCGATTCATCTTGACGTTATCGCCTATAGCCACATCTTTCCTACGACGTTGCTATAAAACATATTCGCTGACAGCGACAATATTTCCCTCGGTGTTGCAGACTCGACAGAAGTAACGCTCTTGGGCCACATATTCATGTAGAAAATGCCTACTCGCGCGAGAGTGATTGAGTCGACAGTTTGATCGTTTGCGAGCAATCCGACAATTGAAATATTTATGCGCGTTATTGTTTACAGCATTACATTATATAAACTCTCTTTCTCTCTCTCTCTCTCTCTCTCTCTCTCTAATGCGGTTACTTTATACTTTTATTTTGCAATTTTTTTGCACTTGGATTTTAACGGCGGAAAGGTTCATAGAACATTTCGTTTATACAGTTGTCTTTTTATCTTCCTTTTCATTCTTCTGTCTCGCTAATTTTTCCATTATTATCATGGCACATTGTTCCAATCTCATTTCGTTCTAACATTTTTCTACTGTAACAGTGTCCCATTTATCTCTTAATAAACTATTCTTTATTTTTATAAAGTTAACGACCCTCTTTTAGAATGTCGATTAATTTATAGAATTGGCTTTTCCCAATAAATCCTCTAGAATCTTTAGATATACATTTTAAAAGAATGCTAACGATTGAATCATTAATTTTACAAAGATTTATCCTTTATTCTTTAATACTTTGTATTTTTTGTGTTAGTGTTTAATTAAAAGTAAATAATTTTCATGTTCTTCAAAAGTTTCGGGAATAAATATTTCATCTGTATCTTATACCTGTCTAAACCGAAAAGCCTTTGGGACCGATAGAATTCAGAAGCTTCTTTTTCAAAGAATGTGATATACTTCTATGCAGCTGCTACG